TTCTGGGATTCTCACATAAATAACCGACTTAGCCCTTGCAAAGCAGAGGAAGTAGCATTGGTCACAGCCAAGGAAACTAAGGCACCTCAGCATCAAGCCCCTTGCCCTGGATCTAGAGGCTGTGAATAAATCGGGCTGTAGAGAATAAAGGGGTGACAATGACTCTCTGGTCAGAGTGGACCACAGCTTCTTACTGGGCAGGCATGGTGGGAGCTGCATATCTAGGCCTGGAAGGACCGCAGGGAGATGTCTCAGGAAGCCTGTGAGTGTGGCTTCCACGTGATGTCAGAGGAAAAGAGCAGAGCAGAGGAGGGGTGGACTGACAGACGGAGGGATGCTGATCAGGCAAAGCTCGTGATGGGGTGAGCACCCTGTCAGCGAGGGGTATGCAAGGGCTGATGGAATAGACAGCTGGCTAGACCTCCCAGGATCATGCACATGGAGCCTCGCCCTTACCATGATGCCAGTGAGCAGGCACACGCCCTTCCCGCAGTAAGTGTGGGGCACCATGTCGCCGTAGCCGATGGAGAGGAAGGTGATGGAAATCAGCCACATGGCCCCCAGGAAGTTGCTGGTCACTTCCTGCTTGTCGTGGTACCTGGGGAGCCAGAGTGGGAAGAGGGAGGCTCAGTCTACACCATCCCCTCTGCCTCCATCACACTGCCTGGGGCAGCGCCAGGGCTGCAGGGCCCTGAGTCCACCTGGCTGCGTTGGGGCCATGTCCTGTGGGTATAGGACAGGTGCACCATCTCCCCTACAGCCCTTCCACGTTCCCTTCACCTGTCCCCCAAGCTGCTTCCCTGGATGGGGCAGAGAGGGGCCCAGGTGAGGTTGTATGAACATACAATCCCCCTCCCAACGACAGACACACACAGACAGGGGGACGGGTGACCACAGCACCAGAAGCGGCAGGAGGTGGAGGCAAGGATTCGGGTCAGACACCAGGAAGAACTTCCCCAGCCAGTGAGGCCCCAAGGAGGTAGGAGCACTGGAGGAGGTGGGAGGCTGGAGGATCACGACCTGGGGCTCGAGCAAGAAGGGACGCCCATATATGAAGGACATAGACTGGAGGACAGCATGAGTCCCCCAACTCCAGGCCCATGTTGCACCTGGGGGTTGGGAGGAGAGGGGCATTGGCTTTGGCACTGGGGAGAGGCCTGGGGCTACATTTTGGGACCCAGGGAGACAGGCCCCAAGGCCTTAAAACTGACAGAACTTAGTCCTGGTCACAGCCGGGCTGGGGACTTCGGCCAGAGAGGCTGCAAAGAGGTTCTGCCTGTGGCCATGCCAGGGCGCCGAGGGCTTGGCTCTCTGGGTCTGGGGGTGGCTCTAGGATCTGTTCCCGCTCAGCTCTGAGTCCCCGAATCCCCTTGGCCTTTTTCTGGGGGCTGGGCCCCCTCTGACCTGGCTTCCAGCTAACCCACTCCTTTGCAGGGTTTAGATCATCTGAGCCCCAAGCCAGCCTCTAGGGGATTCAAGGTCAGAGGTCAACTGGAGTAGCACCGAGGAAGTGGCCTGGACAGAGCAGGATCTTCAGGGGAGGCCTGTGCCAGACACAGTGGGTGACAGAGCCCAAGGATAGGGCTGGAGTCAGAGGCTCCAGCGGGAAGGAGATGGAGGCTCCCCAAAGATTGGCATTTGGGGGTCTTCATTCCTGCGGAGATTGAATGCCACTCCAGGCACCTCCAGTCTGGGCTTCTAGGATGCTTGCTGGGTGAAGGCCCAGGGACTGACTCCATCTTTTCTGTTTTTTTTTTTTTTTTTTGAGACAGTGTCTCTCTCTGTCGCCCAGGCTGGAGTGTAGTGGCACGATCTTGGCTCACTGCAACCTCCACCTCCTGGGTTCAAGCGATTCTCCTGCCTCAGCCTCCCGAGTAGGTGGGACTACAGGCACCTGCCACCACGACTGGCTAATTTTTTTTTTTTTTTTTGTATTTTTAGTAGAGACAGGGTTTCACCATGTTAGCCAGGATGGTCTCAATCTCCTGACCTCGTGATCCACCTGCCTCGGCCTCCCAAAGTGCTGGGATTACAGGCGTGAGCCACCGCACCCAGCTGACTGACCCCCATCTTACACCAAAACATCTGACCCCCAAGCTGCCTGACCCCCAGAGGGCAGGAGGGGCGAGGGGGGCCCTCTAGTAGGTGGGTGGGTGAGCCCCAGATCCAGACAGAGCAATAAGGTGGGGGTGCCGTGGGACCGCCCAGGAGCAGGGCTGAGGGACATGCGGGAGGCGGGGATGGGTCAGAGCGAGGCAGGCAAGGGGGCTTCAAGCATGGTCGCCAGGCTCAGAATTTAGGATTGGCTGCCTGCCGGCCCTGCCCCGTGCCCCACCCCCCCAGAGTCCTGCAAGGACCCAGCTTGGACCTCAGGGATACCTGATGAGGGGCACCCCATACCCCCGACTCTAGTTCTGACCCCACCCACCAGGGGTATGTAGGAGCTGCATGTGGGAACATCAAAGGCCCAAGGAGACCCCTGGAAGCCTTGACAGCCAGAGAAACTGGGGCCTTCATCCCTGAGCACCAGGCCTCAGGCCCAGGCAGGGCCCGTGGGGGTATGGGGGGTGGGGGCTGGGTAAAGGGATGAGGATGGGGTGCTGAGGGCAAGCAGGGGTCCAGTCAGGGACCCCTCCGGGGCCTCCACCAGCTAGGCGCATGGCAGGGAGACCCTCTCCCAGATAAGGCACCCTCACACCCCAGGCCTGGCGGAGCCCCTCCTGCCTCTGAGACCGCCAGACTCAGGCCCCGGGGCAAGTCCCTTTGCCTGCCAGAGTCTCAGTTTCCCTCTCCATAAATCGGGTTGATGGCCTACCACCTCCTAGGGGTATTCACAACAGACTCCCTCCTGTTTGGAGGTCCTGAAGGCGCGGCCGGTTTTCCTTCACCCCAGACCCATTTATTTGTCTTTTTTTTTTTTTTTTTTTTGACTGGAGTTTAGTGGCACAATCTCAGCTTACTGCAACCTCCGCATCCCAGGTTCAAGCAATTCTCCTGCCTCAGCCTCCCGAGTAGCTGCGATCACAGGCACCACCACCACGCCCAGCCCACCCCAGATCTATTTAAGTCTTGGGAGGAAACATCGGAGCTCGCAGCGGTCAGCTGCCCAAACACAACATGAGAGCCAAGCCCTTCCTTAACCCCCGCCATTCGGACACAAGGGCCCTGAGACTCGGAGAGGAAGGGCAGTGGAGCGGCCTGTCCCTGAGATGGGGGGACTGACCTCGACCCACCCTGCTGGCCCGTTCTCCCTGCCTCCCTCCCCTTGCGGCAGCTAATCTTAAATTCCTGGCGGGTCGGGGATGGCGGCAGCGGTGGCAGCGGCTGTTCTGCGCACACAGCTCAGCCAAGGGTGGGACTCACATGTTTTCCCTAAAGTCCGGTGGAGCGGGCAGAGGGGAAAATGAAAGCTGGTTAAACGTGGGAGGTGGGAGACAGAGGGGAAGGGGAGGCATCCCTGTGCCTGCTGCCTGCGCCCCTGGGGTCAGAGATCAGAAGTCAGCCTCCCAGAGATCAGAAGTCAGCCTCCCAGGGAGCCGAGGGGCAGGGAGAAGGAGGCTTGGGAGACCCCGGCGGGGAGGATGAGGGAGAGGGAGCTGGGGTCCCTCCCTGGTTGAGGGCAGCTGGGGACACAGGACTAGATCCCCAGAGAGGATGATTACTGAAGCCACAAACTGGGAGACAGGAGGCACCATGGGTGTCTTGCAATCGGGGAGACAGAAGCAATGGCCAGGGTCGGGAGGAGCCCAGGGTCAGTGAAATCATGAATGGGCACGGAGGTCCAGGGAAACGGGGGCTGGGGGCATGGGGGGGCTCCCGGGGCGGGGTCGCACCTCTCGCAGACGCGGACTGTCCAGGCTGCGATGATCCAGGAGGAGATGCTGAAGACCAGCAGCACCGTGCCGGGGCAGATGGTCATGAGCGTCTTCATGACAAAGCGCGTGTTGAAGGTGATCTTGTTGAGGGCCCCGATGCTGCGGCTCGAGGCGTCCGTGAAGATTTTGCTGTGCAGTAGCATCACCCGGCCCAGCAGGTAGAGGCGCAGGAACATGGGGATGGACAGCAGCACATCCACGTCAGCCTCGGCCACCGAGGGCGCGTACGTGAAGGCCAGCCGCGCCGTCCACGTGAAGCGGTAGTGGCCGGGCACCGGGTGAATGGCGCACACCGCCAGCTCCAGTGAGATGAGGAACACGCGCTCGCAGGTCATGGCGATGCGCCAGTCATCAGCCCCGTTGTCCACCATGAACAACTGTGGAGGGCAGGAGGGAGCCAGCCATGGGTGTCAGACACGCGCCGCGCTCCCCGCCCAACCCCAGAGAGTGACGTCAGCCTGGCCTGAAACCCC